GGTGAGAGATGCGATTAGTGATTTAGATTCATATTTATGGGGCAATTCACACGGAGTGCGTGGATTTGCGTTGTGACACAACAACAACGGAAAAATACTATTGCCAAATTACTTGGCACAGAATGGAAAAGCGCATGCGATTGTGGAGGCGGAGCCCAAAATTCCACATTACATTTGCTATCTACTTTTGCTCCACACTTAGCCCATATGCTATGTGTGCTTGCGACGACAACGATGACGATGATGGGGACGGCGACGACGTACACACTATCACAAATATAAAACAAATAACGATAACGTAAACGATGTAGTCCGTTGTTCTTTTTTTTCTGTGCTGTTTTTATTTTTTCTTCTACTACTCCTCTTTTCTTTCATTTGCAAATCCAACGACACTTGAACGTCGGAATTGTGTACAATTTACGCGAATATTATGTTTATAAGATCACTTATACATTCAGGATATTCTAAACTAGTCTCGAATGAGTTTTATTCTTTGCATTCTATTGCATGTACGATACTTTTAAATTCTTTCTGCTGTACTCATCCAAATACGTTTAGACGATTTCGATTGAATTCACTAAACCTCATTTTTCTTTTGATCAAGTATTATGAATATCTTCAATATTGACATTTTATTTAATCAAAGGAATCAAAGCAAAGAAGCCAATGATCAATATGTTCGACTTTTCCATCGTGAAAAAACAGACATGGAACATGGCATTTAGTTTGTTCATGTTAATGTCCTCAGGATTCAGAAATACGGATGAAATGTTGGTGCCGCCTTAAAGGTAATGTAAATAGATGCCCTCTACGGTGGCCTAAACATCTTCATGAGAATATCTAAACTTGACATATCTGAATCAAAAGAAAGAACTTGGAATGTATTTTGGGAAACGTCACTCGTGCCCACTGTAGCTGGCTATGATAATCTTTATCCTGATAGTCTTTGAAGTTATATTCAATCATAAGAATAATTTATCGGATTTGATAAACGCTGTAATGGGGTGAGGAACCCTTAATGTGGTTAACAACTTTTACGCCAGAATTGCACTCTTCTTGTACCAACATGTACATATTTATATATCTTACCCCTTTAAAAACAATTGTTTACATTTAGAATAATTGCCCCATATTTTAATTATGTCATTTTTGTTGCATCTGTAGGCGTTTTACATGGCTACCGTCACGTGACAACCGTCACAAAATTAAGTACAATTCGATTTGTTGATCTATAGCGTTCATGGGACGAGATTTCTAAGTCTAAAATGTCTCTTATAAGAAGGTATAAATTATACCGTCTAATTGACCTATTTTTTCGTTCGAGCCATTTCGGATATATGGAAGGTCTTTTTGGGTAGTTATACCGAATTATCGAAAATTGACGAAAAAAGACGAAAAAAGCCAATAAAATTCCAGCGAATCCATCTCGTCGGTGTCTCTCTTCTCTTTTGCTAAAAATGATTCGAACCAAAAATTGAAAGAAAGGAAAAAACGCTGCATTTTTTTTTCTCAATAGTATTCATTTTTATTGACAATTTATGGACTTTAATTAGGTAATAATATAAAAATGTGTTTAATTCAGAATACAGAATAGTTTACAGGAATAAAATGTTTTGCCTGCTTAGTTGGGATCTGTTTCAACAATTGAATTACTAGTGTTTTTCATCAATATTTTTTGTTCATTTTTCGTAAATTATCCATTAAATGAATTGCAATGCATATCTCATGAGATACCTCTAATCGGTGTGTATTTACTTTGTGTTGCATTCCATTGTTTTGTTCATTATTTTGATTTTTTTAGTTTTAAATTTTGAACAAACATGTGTTTTAAGATTGCTGAGCATCTCAGCATTTCGTAAGGCACGGATATATCCGAGCATATCGACGACGCATACTGTATAATACAGTGGCGTGTGTTGCTACGTGCAGCCGCAACGACTCGACCGAATTGTGTTCGCAGCAACAACATACAAATTCCGGTCGTGTAGCAACGCACGCCACTGTATGCGTCGTCGATATGCTCGGATATATCCGTGCCTTACGAAATGCTGAGATGCTCAGCAATCTTAAAACACATGTTTGATTTTGAAAAAGCCTTGAATCTTTTCTTCATTGTTTTATCAATCCAAAAAAATAAAGCTGGTTTTTTTTTTCTCCTAAGTTCGTGAATAAGCATATAAACGGAGAGAGAGAAAAATAATATTCTGGGCAAAAAGTGCTCAACACAAGAACAATTATTTTGCAAAAACGAATTATAGGTAGTTTTTGTTGTTGTATTAAAACCATAATAATATTTATAAATTTCGTCATTTGCAATTCAACACACTTCACTTTTATTCGAAGCTAAATTGCAAAAATAACACCTTTTTTTTCCTTTCGAAACTTCTTCTTTCCACTTTGCGTGTTTTTTTTTCTTCTGTCGACGCAAAGTTGTGTTAAAAAAATAGAATTTGTTTTGTCGGACGATATTCTCGATTTTGACGTCACATCATCACTAAAACTGTGTGTGAAGATGGAAAACAAAGAAAAAAGACAATTTTACTCGATAAAGCAAATCACATGCTTCTCTCTCAAATCAAATGCATGCATGTGATAACATTTAAGCACGAAACGAAACCAAAAAAAAAACATCTTATTCTCAATTTATTTCCTCTGTCTCTTTCACCTAAACCTTAAATTGTGAATGATCAACGTTCATTACAAAAATAATAAAATAAAATAAAAACATAGCAAACATTCAATCTAATACACTGTTCATTTTTTTTTAAATATTCTACGCAATTTTTTAGGTTTTTTTTATTTATTTTTTTGTTTCCTCTTGTATACGGCAATTATGAGATTTCAAGCGCTATATTTTAAATTTTTTGTTTTTTTTTTTAAATTTCTAATCAATTGTGTGTGTCTGTGTATGTGCACGTGATGTTGCAAATCATCATTCATATATATACGTGTGTGTGTGTGTCATCAAATGAAGAGATAACCAGTTTGGAAAGTATGAGTTTTTTGTTGTTGTAAAATTTAGCTGTGTGAAAATTAAATTACATTGTTTACTTCATCTTTGCTAATGAATGTTTTTGTTTTGTTGTTGCTTAATTTGTGGCTTGGATTAAGTTGAAAGTCTTTGTTGTTTTTTTTATTTTCGTTCAGCTATTGATTATTAAATATCATGAATTGTTTCGATTAGAATATCCAGAAACTTGTCTAAAGATCGATTAAAGTTAAGCACTATGAAACACGAGAACATGGAATTTTTCGTATGGAACATTCATGTAAAGCGATTTGTTTTTTCTGTCGCGTACGGGTTGTGAAATGCGGCACATTGAAAACTAATAAATGAACGGAATTGTTGTTTTGGCGCTTTACGAATATAACATTTGAGCTATGAATGTGTGTGGCAATTTTCACATACATTTTCTTTTTAACAGTTTTATATATTGAACATTCAATCATTTTCGTAGCACATTTCTCTCGTACCATCGCTGTAGATTGCATTCATTCACGTAGAAAGCATTGAAAATTGCGCGTCATTTGCGTAACTTTATTACAATATCTACTTGCATTGGCTTCTGCACAAGTGTCAAATAAATGATTTCCATGGCGGCTGGTTCTTATACGACATTCTTCTTAAGGCCATGCATGTTTTCATCACAACAACCATGGCCATTATCATAATTAATGCCTTATCGTGGCTGCTAAATTTCGATGTGAATATACAAATTTTGCCATGAATACAAGCAATTCTACAGCGTCAGTAGGTTGTGATGATTCTATGCGAGCAGTTACGTTACCTCTTCACCGGGTTGTCACTCTTTCTCTATCTGTGTGTATGTGTGTTTGTGTCTCTTTTCACAATTTCTCTGGATATAACCTAAGTCAATAGGGAGTGGCAGTATTCGTTTTCATTTGACAACTATTACGACATAAAATGTCGCACATTAAAGCTAAAATGCGATTAACAATGCAATCAAGAGAGGAAAATATACAATAAAAAATGTCCTAAATTGTCGATGAAAAGCTTTGAGGTGAGTCAAGTATTGCATAGTTATATACAACAAAGAGCGTGACAATAAAGCATCGGCGTTCGATTCAAATGCGGTGTAAATCTATACGTGCAAAATGAGAGAGTTGGTCTGGACTGTTTTTTTTTTGTTGTTGTTGTTGTTGAATATAATGTGTATAAATTATTTGATCCCTCGCTGACACAAACAAAAAAAAAGAAACAATATTTGTCGACTTGTTTTCTTTGATTAACATTCACAAATTGTTTGCATCGGTGAACATGAAACATATATATTTTAATATTACTAATATTATAATGATATACACTGGAAAAGGAAAGAAAAATGTGATAAGCGAAAAGAAAAGATGAATATGTGACACTTGTGACAATATGATAGATGCAACGAGCGAGAAGACACAAAATGAACTAAAATCGATGTGAACAGAAAAATTGTTTTATGATTCAATAGATTTAATTTCTTTTTCCTTTTATTTTGACACGTGCAATTCTAAATAAAAAAAAATATCATTTCGAATTTAACTCTTTTTTAGCGATACAATACATAGAATCGAGGCGAGGGGAATCATTTTGCAATCCGACACATTCCTTCGTTCGTTTCCATCGTTTTTATTCCGTCTCTTTTTTTCGATTTGTATGTTTCACTTCAAGCAATCGGTTTAAAGAGCTTCAAATGGAGGAAAAAAAAAATCCACAAAATTCAATCTCATTGTTTTCCATGCAAATATTGATAAGAAATGACACGTAACGTATCCTATCGAAATGAAGAAAAAATATAAATGTATCCTAGAAATATGGCGTAATGCTTCCAAACTGCGTTTCACATTAAACAATTTCCGACAAACTTAAGATAAATTGCTCATATTCTTTTTTTTCTTTATAAATAAAGTTAAATTTGTATCTGGGTGAGTGATGCATCGAATGAACGTATCATTGTTTATCAAATTAGAATGGAAAACAATAAAAAAAAACAATCATTTTTTTCATATTCACCTTCGGGCAGGGCAACAACAAAATTTTTGTAACAATTTTCTAGTGTTTCACTTTGAGTCCCTTTCAATTTGTGTATACAGTGTATACTATACACAAACGGCTATAGCCGCAATTGTAATTGCTGAATTTTGGAATTTCATTTCTTATTGATCGCTCTATGTTTGTGTTCATTGATTGCAAATGTCACTTGATCGAATTTTTTTACCGATACTCTCGTGTTATCTCTATCTCCTTTTCTCTCACACGGAACTGCTTAAAACCGAATAATCAGTTGGTTGTTGATGATTTTGTATATATTCTCATGATTTTTATATGTGCTCTAATGTTGCTTATAATCGGCAAGCCTTACACTCAGATTATTTAAATTTTGGTGCATGTTAATAGATGACTCAATTTCATGTTCTTTATTGTTGTTGTTGTTGTTGTGGTTTTTCTTTTTCTGTGCGAAACATACACCTCGAAATAAGGTTTTCTTTTTATTTAAAAAAACGAAAGAAAAAAAATATTTATCCGCGCGCGTGTATATTCTCGATCAATATACTGATTTGTCGGTTGTTTTTTGTTTTTTGCTTATTTGCACCCATTTATGGTTACTTCGTTCCTTTACATTTAGATATTTACCATAACTACTAAAATAATAATATTTTTCCCCGTTTCATGAACGTTATTTGTTTGTTTTTCTTTTTGTTTTCTTTAGTTCTCTCTCTTAGTGTGTGTTCCTTTTTTTTTTCTTCTCTTGAATGTGTATGAATTGTTCCGTGTTCATTAAATGCGTTTGCAATCGAATGGTTTCCTTTGTTGCTATGTCTAATGGTTTTTGTTTTTAGCTGCTGCTGCTGTTGCTGTTGATGCTGATGCTGATGCTGATGCTGCGTTTTCGCTCTGTCTGCGCTTGATTCTTGAAGTTCATATAAAATATTTGGATGTTTGTTTGTCTGTTTGGGCTGAGTGTTGCTCAATCGATTTTTATTCTTGTTGCTGGTGTGTGTGATTTTTGTTCAAAAGAAAAAGAAATACGTGATTCTGTTCAGTAGTGTGTTTATGCTTCGACCTTCTTCTTCTCCTTTTTCTTCTTCAAAAATGACGGTGTTCGAAGTCCCTTCTTCTTCTTCTTGTCTTTTTTCGGCGATCCTTCCGTAGACATATCATGCTGCAAATTAAACAAGAGCGATTAATGTTTTCATTTTTTTCTTGAATTTAAAAACTTTTTTGTTCTGCTTTCCTTGAAAAAAAATTTTTTGTTTTTTTTTTTCTTTTTTTCAGTTTTTCCTCGTTCTCTTCGTCTACTATTATGCCAAAATTCAATGCTAAATTAAATCGAACTTACCTCCTTACTGCTATGTGAAAGTGTACTGATGTGAGCATCGGAATGATCTCCGTTTTGTACGTGTTCACCTAATGACAAGAACAAAACTCGATTAGAAACGGTCGATTGCCAGTGATGAAATGGTGTGTAAAATGTAATGAGCGAGTGGTGCATAAAATAAGTTGAGTTGTGAGTGCTTTATTAATAACTATTCATTGACATCATTGCGATTGAAATGTCTATCTATTCTATCAAAGTTTTCATGTGATTTCCTGCTCCGACTAATAGCGTTAGAATGGATTTGATGCATCAATGATCAAGCAAAATGTTAATGTTTTGTATTTTCAATGCATTTTTCCTCTCATTTTTTCTTTTGCAAAACTAAGCTATGTTTGGTAAAATATGACAAAAAAATTTCTTTTTCTGAAGCAAAATAAAACTAGCGAAAAAACCAACAGCAAAAAAATCAAATTTTTTCCATCAACAAAAAAAAAGCCAAACCGTCACTTAAGAACTAACAACCAACAAGTATGAGAATGAAAAAAGGTCAAATCTAGATGAAATTTTTTTCCCTACACACTTTGTGTGTGGAAAAGTAAAAAAAAGGGACGTCATTTCTTGGAAACACAACGTTCATTTGGAGCTAGCGAAAATGCGAACAACAAGACGGTTTGCATAGTGGTCGGTGGGTGCTGTGCTCGAGTCACTTTGATCGCTCGGTGCTAATATTACGGAAATGTTTGATTCACTGCCGTTCGATTCGGCTGTTTCGTAGAAACTCTCATTGCATTGACTTGAATTGCGTGGCGTACTGCACAGACTACATTTGATTTCCGTTGGTATTTGGTCATCGTCATCATCACTTGCTGGCACCACGATTGAAACTGGATTTGAACATAAATTCACCGTGGCATTTGAACATGGATTCATCCAAGAGTTTGAGCTCGGATTCAACCAGGATTTTGAAATGTCATTGCTTCGATACATTGAGCATTCGGATTGATCGAGGAAGTGAAAATGTTTCGGATTCATCCTTTGCGTCGGGATACGGAAACCAAAATGGGAATTTGTACGATAAAATGTGAGGTCAATCACCAAATTCGACCATTTTTGCCAATACGATTCAAACGATTGAACATTCGCCGATTTTGTTACTTAAGACCAATTCAGAAAAACGCAAACCAAACGAAAGAAGAAAAAAGAAAAATAAAATGCAAATTAAAGATGGTGTTATGGTGAATGGCGAGCAAAGCAGCTTAACATTTAGAATTAATGCTTAATATATCCTCATAATGAACGTTAAACCATAGCTACAAAAATGATAAAATTTCAATATCAAAAATGAAAAATTCTACGATGATAAGCAAATGAAATGAATTCGAATGCATGAAATCGGTTGATTTAAAATCATATGAAACAAAAATGATTTTTATTTTCGTGTTTCGAATAAAGGTTTAAGCATTTTATAGTTCAAAAATGCCGATTTACCTTTACTTGTCGAAGCGTGGATTATTTCATTCTTAATAAAATCAAGTGTTGCTATTTCAAAAATAAAAACAAACATATTAAATACAATAAACACAAAATTCAAACAAAAAATGTATTGTATCGATCAAAATAGAAAAAATGGTAATCAGAACAAGAAACTGCTTTCAGAGCAAACAAAAAACAAACAGCAACAACAACAACCAAAAAACGGCATTCCAATATTTTCAGCTACGAGATGAATGCAAATAGTTCCGGATTCGTACGATGAATGTCTAACTATCTATCTAATAAGGGTATTTCGTGTCTGGTTGGAATTTCATACGAAAGTGGAATGAGCATGGAATCTGCATTTTTTTGAGAGGATAACTCACCACCACATTTACTTGTTTGACGATTCAACGACACAATGACATTACAATACGGTTTCATTTCATTGATTTGTTAGCACTGAGAACTCAACTAGCTCATCAAACAGGGTGGGAAATACATAGGGAGATCGAGTGGTGGTGGTCGTGTGTGTATTTTGGTTGAGTAGACATTTGTTGTTGTTGTATTTGTACGGCAATGTGCATCAAAAAATATTCAGAAATAGACATTTTCAATGAAAGCATTAAAGCGGCTGCATTTGCACCAAATATATACTATATCCATCGAATACTCTACTCAAAAAGGAATTCTCCAGTATCTAAAAAAATTCTAATTTTTTGTTGTCATCCTAATCTAACCCTTCACTAAGATTTGTCTACCGAAAATCGTCGATTTAGCAAGCCATTGTTGTTGGACACTAAAAGAAAAGATTTTGGTCACAAACTTACCGTCACTGAGTACAACTTCTGGTTGACTGGGTACAGGCGCTTGCGATGTTTCTATTCGATGAACTTGTGCTGTTGAAAAGTGTTTAAAAAAATCATCATTTTGAAAAGAGACAAAAGAAGAAAAAAAAAATCCAATTGAAACTGGTTATTTACCAGAGTCTCCGCCAAGTTTCGCCGGTCCGGAAATTTGTAGTGAACTCAAAGCTTCTGATTCGGAGAAGTCGGTATCGGTATCTGGGAAATTGATTGAATAATGTTTAAAGAGAATTGCAATTTGCTAATCAAAGATGGATAAAAAAAAAGTGCGCGCAGTCAATACTCACAATCACCGTGTCTTTTTCGTTCAACGGTTTTTTTGTAATCGTTTATTTCATCGTCAGTGACGCAATCGAATGGATTCTTGGCGTATGGTGCCTTGTACACGGTTGCATTATGCTGGTAGCCACGTTGAATGATACCCTTTGAGGCGGCACCCATTAAAACCACATGATCATTTGCACCGGAAGTCGTTGCATCCTTTATTCTATTTGCTTCGTCCCAGGTTACACCTTCTAAAATATGTGATTGCGGACCCGCTGATATTTTGTCGGCACGTCGATTATCTTTTATCTGTTCGTGTTTCGATTGATTTCGCAAGAAACGAAGACGAATGAAGGCAAGAAGAAAAGAAAAGAAGAAAAGAAGGAACATGTGTATAGGGTCAGCAACAATGTGTAGTACATCACGCATTGGCCACATTGGGCTCATTTATATATCATTATTATGCTACATCACTTACCAACTGTTGCAATTTTTTAAATTCTTTTGGATTCGTTCCAGCCGGCACAAATTGCAGTGGATTTTCAATGCGCACAGCATTCGAATGTGTTGGTGAACCATCAGCGACCCACTATTTGTTTGTTTGTTTCATTGTTGTTGTTGTTTTTTTTTTGCACGCGTTCCGAGCGATTGTGTGTAAGTGAGTGGCACCGAACACCGGATGTAATTTTCGTTCATTCCATCGATAGAGTTTGGGAGTTATTATGCATGCATTTGAAACGATTGTATGTGTGTGTGCGTGTGTGGGAAAGGATGAACGCCGTTGAAACAAAATAGCCCCGGACGTAATGCAACATGCAGCCAAAATCGTAGAAGTCAAACCACCACAGAGACACATACCCAACATAAGTTTGAATAAATAAAAAAAAAATGAAAAGAAAAAAGAAAATGAAGAATTCGATTAGCGACAAATTAGCATTAAATTCAATTCTTGTAAATTAGTAGTTTATTATTAATTTGTTTGGAGTCGTTTTTTTCCCTCTACTGCACAATAATCTCTCTATTTCTGTGTTATTTTAATTTGCGTACGGAATATTAATCAAATTTGTTGTCAATAATTCATGTTTTTCCTTCTATGGTTAGCTAATTGAGTATTTTTGTTAAAAGGTAACCGTTAATTTGTTAATGCGGAAACAAAAGAACATTTTGCTTTTAGAGAATAAAGAATATTTTAGAGAGAAAATTTAAACTTGATTTTTCTTTATACCAAAAAAATGTTTTTTTCGAATAAAAAGCTGTGCCTAGACCTCGATGGAAAAAAAATTGCTCACAATTGGCTGTTTCCCAACTATATTTCTCGCAATGGGATTTATTTATACGAATTGCCAAATAGAATGTTATTATTCGAAGTAGCCAAATAGAGACACCATTTGTCGCTAACAGTACTCTTATTTTCTTCTTTCCATTTGTTTTCCAAGGATGGGCTATATTGACAAATCAGCATTTACTCTCGCAAACGATACTCAAACCAAACGAGAAAAATTTCAAGGAAAAAAAAAACGATGAACAAGTCGAGTGTTTGTCAAAACATAAAGCACAAGCAAATAGAGCGGAAATGATGTGGATATAGGTAAAACAGATACAGAGGAAATAACAACTAAAAATTAGATTGAAACAAAGTGTTCTTCTCTAGGCACACACTTATTATTATTCATCGTTTCTTGTTGGTTATTTTGGTAAATAATATAGTTTATTTTAGTAAATTTTTCCTTTTGCAAAGAGTGTATATGATTTTGCTATTTATGAATTATAACGTCCAATTTGTTGTTTATTTTTGTAATCATGGAAGGCTATTTTTTCACTAGTAGGATTTCCCTTTAAATTCTCTCTTGTTTCTTTCTTTTTAAATCTTTGTCTGAAATTCATGAATTCGACTAGCACAATATAGTATGTAAATATTGATTGTTTAGATCAGTAATGTGAATCAATTGTATGGCATTTCGATAGGAAGTTTATGCGCGATTTTTATTTCTTTTTATTCTCTTGCTTTCTTTGTCTAACTATGCGAAAAATTTTTTTAGAAACTCTTCTCTTCTTATGGAATAAATTAGCACACAAATTGGAATTAATCTTGGCAAAAAGCGTTTCATCATCATTGCTTGGTAAGCGATATATCCAATTGGTTGATTTAAAAAAAAAATATTAAAAAATAGTTCATTGAAAATGGTTTTTACGTTTTTTTTTTCTTTCAAATTTTTTTCCTTTCAAATAAGCATTTTTCAAGTATGACATTTTCCTATTCAGAGTTAGCATTCTTCTAAGACAAAATAACAGAAATTCGCTCCCATAATATTATTCGAACTCATTTTCATCGGAATGTTCTCAATAAAATTGTCTTTTTCCTGTTTGATTACGTTTTTTTCCCTTTGGGGTTTTCTTTCCTTGCAAATGTGTTTAATATCATTAAATAAAGAAGCATTTTGATATTGTTGTTATGTGAATAATAAATTTTTAGTAACATTTAGCTACGAATAAGCATTTAACATAGATTTCATTTTTTTGTTTTTGTAGGTATATGTGTGTGACGATAAAAGCGTCCACTAGATGCCTTCAAAAGGGCAGTGACACGATTTCTATTTGGTGGTTTTTCTTTATTCATTTTACTTCTGCTTTTGATTCGAATTAATGTTCGATTTTGCGCGTTTTTTTTTGCGGTTAGATTTTTAGGCATTTTCAAATTTTATGATTTCTACCTTGGTAATTTTCTTGGGATCCATTGTGCCAGTTTCTAACACCTCAACCTTTTGATAGACATTTGGTGAGTTGAGCCATCTCGATCGATCGCCACCTTTGCGCAAATCCGATTTCTTCCAAATGCTACACATCAGACGAGAGAGAGATAAATCAGTGATTTGGTTACATGGTCAACGAATTATTGCATTCAAATTACCCTTGTCGATAAAGTTCCTCCTCTTCAAGTAAATATCCGAGCGAAGACACGGCCGGTGGCACTTCAACATCATTCTTCGGTTTCGGTAGTTCGGATTTTACTAATGGATTGCGATAAATGTACCCGGTGCGGAAGCCAGCATTGTCCAGCATACGCATTAGAGCTTCGAATTCAGCACTGCCAACACGCCATTTTGGAGCCTATCACACAGTCAAACATACGAATTTGTATCAATTTGTTTTTAATTTCAGTTCAATCTCTTTCAATTTTATTTCAATGAATTTATTCAAAAGTTTTTGCAGTGATTTTTCTACGAATATTCATTACTTTTGCCACTCATTATTCAATGAACGAAAATGAATTAAATTTCACATTTTATTTTGGACATTAGATGCATAGAACAATACCTGTGATCGTGGTCCATCCTTGTTGCTGTCGGTTTGATCTTGCTTATGTGCTTGTTTCAATTCATAGCCTTCCGGTGGGCGTCGTGAAGTATCGTAGATGGCTTTACGAGCTTCTTCTGGAATCAAATTCAAGTTGTCCAATCCAACGGGCAGTAGTTTGAGTTGTGTTTCACATGCCTGAATAAAAATGAATCAAAAATAGTTTAAATTAGACTTTTTTTTTCAATCAAGTCTGTTATAAATGTTGAAACGTGTTTTCTCTCTCTTCAAAATGAAGGTAACAAAACCAAGAATTGTTGAACCGAACGTTCGATTGTTTAATCGAACCGAAAATAACTGATCGATTCAAATTGAATTACCTGAACTATATGGTATGCCGAATAGAATGCTTCTTCAATAGTTTCGCCACAGCATAAAGCACCATGATTCGTAAGTAGCAACACTTTTGAAATCGGTCCCAAGCTACGAATGAGCTTCTCCTTTTCTTCGGGTTCGCTCAAACCGCCGGTATAAGTGTGCAGTGCAACTTCACCGAGAACGGCTGCATCATTGGTCAATGGCAATAGGCCGAGTTTGAGTGATGAGACGGCAACAACTGGATTGCAGCCAATATAAATAGCACAACGAATGTCTGGTCGTGCAGCGTGTACGGCCGAGTGTAACAAGTAGTCTATTTGGGATGAAGCAACAATTGAGTAATAAATAACAATGAAGACATACCATAGCAATATACACTAATAAAATACAAAAATCAATTGAAAACCTACGTCTCAAGTTGATTCCAAAGTTGGTGGTGCCTTGTTCCACAACATTGCCCTGCATATCAGCTTTGTTCAAAGATGAGGCAGTCACTTCGTGGTACATCAATCCGAATGGATTGACTAAAAACAGTTCTTGATCGGCATTCAAGCGAGCTGTAACTTGGGCGCCCAATCCCTGTGTCCACCCATACAAATCGAGTAAACGAAATGTGGCGGCCAATTTGCAACGAAGAATCTTTTCACCCTTTGCATAGCCCATCGATTCAACGCCACGGATATCATTTACGGGTAGAACGCAATTCGAATTCTTGAATAGGCTGCCAACGCGTGCAGCTGGAACGCCAACCATTTCGGAAATCTGTTGCAATATTCCCGATGTTCCTTCGCGACCATGATTATCGACAATGCGCTCGAGTTCTTCACGAAACAGACGTGATGACATAATCGCTTCTACACGTTTACGTCGATCCATCTCCCGCATATCCTGTGAACGAAGAAAAGTAGAAAAACAATCGAATATAAAATAAAGTTTGCCGCATAACAGATTTCAATAGATAAACAGTGCTTCTACTCACCGCTTCGATATCGGCTGGTCGAACTTTGTTGCTTTCATCTTCTGCGATCGTTTCGATGCCATTCGTTTGAGGTTGCTGTTCGACTTCAGTCATTTTATTGTAATTAATGTGTTAAAAGAGAGAATGTAAATCGTTTTGCTCGAATTTTCGGGACGATCTGCAAATGGAAAACAAAAGAGAAATGTTTAGATCATTCGTTTGGATGGAATAGTGTTAATAATTCTAAAGTAAATCATCTAGAGTAAATTGAAATGGTGTAGGCAGAGATAATTTGCAGTTCTTGTTGTGCAAATCCAGCAAATCTAGAGATTTTAATCCCATTTTTTCCACTATTTTGCGAACCAAGAGTGTCTATTCAACCGATCAACTTCATCCGGTCGCAGCTATTTCATAAATCGATAACACGGCGACACATAAACTTCAATGCGTTAATACCAAGTCATTAAGTTATATTTTATTTTTAGTTGCGATGATGTGTCATTTCGCAGAGAATGCATCGTCTCTGTTTGTTTGTTTTTCTCCTCCTTTCGATTTTTTTTCTGTCTCGTTGTGCTTGACCATTACTTGTTTCGTTCGGAGCCAATGATGCATCGAATGAATTTTAATACGCCTCGTCTTCTCGTATATGTATTTGCAGTCACGATGCTACCAAATCGATTTGAAACTGACGCAAGATATAAAAAAAAACACCCAAATGGATTACTCGTTTCCTTCTTACATCTCATACTATGGGCTACTATATGCTACTGCACACAATACGAATGCATCGCCTTGTCTTGCAAAATGGATCTTTTAAATGCCTGAGCATAACGATTGTGTCTCATTGTCTATCTCTTTCTGGGCTGGTCATCAGTAAATTAATAAAAGTGACTTCATTAACAGACAGCAAAATGGAATCACTTTTTATTCGAGCGAATGGAATAGTTTCTTTTTATTCAATAAAAATGAGCTCATATGTCACTTGATGCTGATCGAGCTTTGATTTTGATCGAGTTCCATGCGCAAATGCTGTTTGGCATTCGATAACTATGCAACGATTCAAACTTTTGCCCATCAATCGCACAAATCATTTTTATTTCTGTCAAAATTCTGTGCTGCAATAGCGACAAATTGATAAATTTGCAAAAATAAATGAGAACTAAGTGAAATACGGAATGAACGAGTCAATATTTTATTACGTATGGATTCGTCTCCGATTTGGTTAAAAGTGAAAAAAAGTGGATTTCTTGAATATGGACTTGTTTGTTTTCCTCTGTCTTGTTTCGGTGTTGTTGTTACGTTTTTCTTCTATCTAGCAACGCATTCGTTGTACGTAATACACACGGCCATTGAACTATGTATGTGGCAGAGCCCCGATATGGCCAAACCGAGCGCGAACGATATTTTGCAATGATGCATAGCGAATGACAATTTATAAGCTCGGTGATACTGTGTGCAAAATGTATATAAATCGTTTAATTCCACTTATTGGTGTTTATTATCTTGATCGTCAATTTGTGGTCGGTTTCATTTGCCACGAGGAGAAAAAACCCAACAATAATATTCGAACAAAAAAAAAGAGCACACAAAATCGTTTTATATTTCAAATCACATTGTTTTGCATTAAACAGCAGCAGCTCCCATCAATAATGCATTTGTGCCGTGATTAAGTAACACGCACACAACAACAGCAGCCACCAATAGCCGTCACAGCAATATCGTTTCAATGATCGGCGCGCATTCACACAACTATACACACAATAGACGAAAATAAACAGTCGCATTCACGAATGGACGGAGCTGTTATCGATGCCATTCAGTCGAACACACCCGGCATTCTTCTCTCATACACATACATATATTTTAATTACAGATCTAAAATTACATTCACAGTCTGTCAACTAAATACAATACGATTGCAAGGTCTTGTGTTACAACAAATTATTCAATGGACGGCGTCGTTCTGTTCGATTCACACACACACACACACACACACACAGAGAGAGAGAGAGAGAGAGAGAGAGACAGAACCGACCGAAAAATGACTACTTGAATTTTAAGAATTTTTCAAAAATTAACCGTTTGGTTTTTCTCTCAAGTACTTTGGCAGAGCGACGTTTACTACGAGAAACGAAATGAGACAAAACACTTTGAAACACTTTTCGACGCCGTTTGTCATTAAAGTGGTTTCAGATCTTGAACTTCATTTTACTCATGTCTCTTGTACATGATTCAAGACGTGCGGCGATTCGACGACAACGATTTTACGATTTTGTGCGTAATCGATACCGGTATCGTCCATTATCAGCATTGAAACAGATACGTTCAGTTTATGAACACCATTTCAAGCTGACTTGTGTGTAGCAAGTGCATACTGAGATTCTCCAAGAATAAAATGATATTTTTCACACAACCTATTGGAATTATCGATATAAAATGAAAAGAAATGGATTGATAGGAAGCGATTAGGTTTCAAGTGTTTTGCTTTCTCAACAGTAGAGTTTAACGCAGCCCAAGGCTCAAGTTCAGATTGTGCGCGGCGCGCGTCGTTTTTTTCAACCAACGAAGTTACCGGCTCTTTGAGTGTGGGCGTCGTCTTATCAATATTATTAACTAGCAAATCGACCGATGGTAAAATTATAAACATAGCATATAAACCTTAAGGTATGCCCATTAGATGAAAACGAATGTGTCATGCACTGTGAAAAAGCAGCAGTGGCCACATTTCAAAGGGGCTAATACTCTTGGTCAAATGGATCGCAACACACACACACACACACACACACACACACACACACACACACACCGATCGTACTACACTGGATGATGACTTTATGTAATCGATAATGTAGCGGCCATAGTAGAATTCATAAGTCAACGGCTTGAGCAGAGAGAGAGAGAGAGAGAGAGAGAGAGAGAGAGAGAGAGAGCGGAGGCGGGACAGCAGCAGCATATTAACCGTTACAAAAATGAAATAATAACCCAGTTATGGATAATTGATTGAACGGTTATTGTCTACTTGTACAAATATTTGCGTATGTTCAATATATATATATATATATATCTCACGCGCGCATTCTTCTCTCTCTCTCTCTCTCTCTTGCACATCCAATCTCTACATTGATTACGCTCTTCATTTCCATAACGCATTTCGATTAGCATATTTGTCTGCAGTGTAGCGTGTACACGATGCTACGTAACAACAAAAGCTATTGCACCGCGTCAATGATTTTTACTTGATTTGCTGCTGCCGGTGCTGGTGCTGCTGTGTAAATTGTACAACGGCACACACGTCATGTATCAGAATGCAAACGATACACGACGGTGAGATGAAAACAAACTCGCTTTGTATCAAATCATATTTATATACACGGGCCAAAAACGTTGAAATCGCCAATAACATGTTATTATGGCATTAAGACGTGTTGAACTGACGAGTTTTTTTCCCCTTTCTTCTTTCGTTCCTTTTCTCTTGCTCTTTTGCTCTCTCGCATCCTCTCTCCCGCCTGCTCGCACACTTGGCTTTAACAAAAATTATTATTACTCTGACACATAATCATCATGCTCATTAGTGCAAACGTAGCGTAGTTTTATTATCGTCTCCCCTTTTTTCGCTGCTTTCGGCGCAGAATTTGCTGCCATGTGCAATCAGCCGGGATTGCAATGCATCAGCACGTATTTTACTAGAATCGATCATGATTATTAGAACATTGTTTCATTTTTCTCCATTCAAACGTGAGTAAAGATGTGCTTGGTCAATCGTTTTTTCTCCCTTCTCTACTAACTACTGCTGCTGTTGCTGCTGCTGCTGTTGCTGCTTCTCTCTTCAATTTATTAATAATCCAGCGTTCGCCAATTGACATTTCAACTCAACTCAATTCAGAATAAGATGTTTTGTTTTTGCATTCGCGCAAGAACAAAAAAAAACACACTTTAAATAAGCTGTCAGAATAGTGCATCGTTCATTTTGAGTAATAATTTTTTTTTTGGTTCAATGTGAATCCAATTGATTTGATACGATCATTTTTACTATTTAATTAAATTGCTAACCATGGTGATTGACGTATTGCATTTGAAATTCATTTGCATTGCAGACCGTGTTTTATGTCTATGTTTCATTCATTCGTTCGTTCATTTTTTTTTAGTTTGCAGGTTTAGTTTCATCGTAGCAAATCGAGGATGTGTTTTCGATACGAGAGATTATTCTCACTCTCGTGTGTGCGCTGAATGGAAACCCGATTTCAGTTACTGATGTCACTCTGTGTTAATTAGATTGAAACTGGAACAGAACTAATGGATACATGATTTAATCACATGCATTGCACATTTTCAGCTGTCCGTCTCATGGACATCATGCCGAACATAAGTTCACACACACAGACACACACACACACACACTGTGTGTGCCATGTCTTGTTACGGCAGCGTAGCTAGAGAAAGAGAAAAATATGCAAAGCCAAAGATGATTGGCTCGTGGCAACATCATGCAAAATCATGCACAGCACAGACTCAGCAACGCCATCGGCACCGACTCGATAATTGTTCATTACGTAGCCTATCATTACCGCTAATTTAAATGCTTTCAATATGGCTCTTTGCTTTGGTGTGGACTGTGCGTATGTGCAATCCAAAACGGTCTGAATGAACGGGCCAAACGATGTGCTGAACAACGTGGAAAGTGGTTTGAAGAATGCCAAAAAAAGCCACAATTTTCAATGGTGAACGTGATCAGCAGATTTAATTCATTTATTATTGTACAATTTCATGCGTCACCAATCAAGAAAAAGAACCTTAAAACCGTTTCTTTTCATTTTTTGACCATTGAATTATGCGTTGAAATCGATTTGGACGAAAACCATTTTTTTTTCCAAATCCATGGTTTACGTGACACTCAATCAATTCAACTTCCTCCATTCATATCGTATGTATGTCAATTTGGTGAGTGTGTGTATGTTGGTATATTTCATTAGCAAATTTCCGTAAATCATAAAGCATAACCAAATTTGGTGGATTTTCATCGAGTTCGTGCCTCTGTCGACCGGAATGTATGTATAAATTAGAGACACCGGTCGCATGGGCCCATTCAATCATATCTGAATTTCAACCTTTTTTTTTTCTCTTGTTGATTCAATTTTTTTTCGTTGTCTCTTTTTTGTTCCACGTCATTTTTGTATGACT